GGAACAAGGCTAATCACTCTTCCCAGACTCCGACTTTACCACGTGTACGTTGCTTGCCGTTGCCCTTGCGCTAATCACGCACTCATCACCAACAGCGGCACTTCTCAACCAGCTTCCAGAACAACAGGGACATTACCTACCATCTCAGACGCCAGCTGCACCTCTGATTAACTTAATCAACCATCCTCAAGACACACCAAAGTCTGGTGGACAGCCGAAAGCGGTCGACGCCTTCGATATCCACAGCTACGTAAATCGCACTCTCGAGCGAGTCATGGGTAAGGCAGGTGTGAGTGATAGTCTGAATTTGCATTCCTTTCGACGTGGAGGAGCGCAGCACACGAACGGGTCACGTATGTGCGTCCGATGGATCTTCGATAGAGGCGTGTGGAATATGACGTCGACCGACAAGGCATTCGCATACGTCTTCAACACTCCAGCCGAAGATCAAAAAGTTGCCCAAGTACTGAGTGGCCACGACCCTGCGAAATTGGTACCACTGCTAACTCTGGACTTCTTGGACTCTGACACGCAAGCGAAGATCCGAGCTGTCGCCTATGTGCTGTTTGGTGCCTCGATTGGACCAGATGTGAAGGCTTACAACATAAGCGCACGCGTCGCTGATACCCTCATGGCATACGTGTTGCGCCACTATCCTTCCTTGAAAGGCGTGAAGTCGGACGCCATAGCGGTCCAGCGTATCGAAGCACGTGTAGTCGCGAAAGGGGCGTCCGTGAATGAGCTTCTTGCATGGTCGTCTCACCTGTCCAGCAACACAAGCCCGGATGGGAAACCCAACATATTAACCCCTCAAATTCCTTCAGAAGATAAAAACGAGGTACCCAGTATTTCGTCAGTAATCGGCTTTGATTAAGCAGTTAATCCAAGTCAGCCAGAAGCTTGACGCCCGACTGTCTACCATGGAGTCTAAGATCTACAACAAGCGTGAACGCGCTGAATCAGCAGAATCAGGAGACAGCACGTGAAATAGCGGTCAGCAACACGCATACAGTAAAGCGATGGCGTACCTCTGAAGCTACGAGCTTCAAAGACGCACGGTACTCCTGGTTCGCGCAAGAACCACGAATGTGGCGCTCGACAGACGCGTTTACAAAGCACACAAGGTCTACATGTAAGACGATCGTGACGTTCATGAAGCTGTTTCTCCCTGAAGGTTTCAAGCTGAGCGAAAATCCACCAACGTATCGCGATGAAGTGCTGGCTTTGAGAACGCAAGCTGAGGGAAAGCTTCTAGCTTTCCTTCAAGATTACAAGATCACCGCTCGTGGAGCCCAAAATGTCTTGAAGTCCATGCGCAAGCTCCACTAGAGCGGCATTCTCAAAGGGCATATCCGTAGCTAGGACCAACTTTACGCTGCGGGACGCATCACCGACCCTGCACCTTTGCACACGAATAACGTCATAACGTTAGATTGCATCCAGTAATAACACGCTAGTTGCCTTGTCCAGTCGTTTTCTATCGATTTGCTCAACCTTGAAATCATTCTGCAATTTACACCCCACGTTACAGTCCGACCGCTCATCATGCCGGCGATCAAGCCGACCAAGCACCCTGTTAGCTCCTAGAAAGAGTTCAAGACCCTGTGTATCACAACAGGCAAGGCGTACAAGCTTCGCCTGGATGATGAGGCGATTCGCCACCTCCGACTTACCTTGAACACGATCGTCGCATCAGCAAGCCTTCTTCTCAAAGTCATCCCAGTCGCCTACGAAGCCATGAAGGAGCGGAATAAGCGACGGGCTGGTCTTGACGATGTTCGCGAATGGCTTGTCCAGCCTCCTCCATCTCAAGATGACGACGATTAGGTAGGTGGCGAGAAGAAGCGCTACGTACGCAAGGTGATGACGTTGAAGCGTGGGAAGCGGCAGACGTACTACATTGTAGAATGGCAGCCGACGGGGGAGCCGAGGGAGCACATCCACAAGTCTGTTGTTGTTGCCTTCGAAAAGGAGCGCCGCCTTCTTGTTTGCAAGCGCTTCTTCGAGGACGAGGCTGTGGAGGACAACTCACTCAACGACGCAAAAGGTAACGCAGAGTAAGCAGTAAGAGCTAATACTGGGTGTATTACATGCTCAAGAAGCATTGCCTAAACTTCTGCACTGGTAGCACCGTATTGAACACTAAGCTTTACCTCCATGTGGAACAGCAAAGTTAACCTCGTTACAGAGTACACGAAATACGCATATGAGTGCTGCGTCAAACACAAAAAGCTTATCCTCCTTACAGAACAGCAATGCTAACCTCAACGCAAGCAAGCACACAACGCATAGACGGCAGAGGTGGCCACATATCGCACATACACGAAATATACAAACACGCACATAATCAAATTACCCACGTAGCCCGTCGCTGCTATTAGTAATACTCCTAAAAAGGGCCGTAAAAAGGAATGATCTGCTTCAATTAGTGAACTTTGATTTCTGACCCGGGGCCTCCCTTCGCTTTTTGCAGAGTAGAGTGAGCACCCGTCCGGGCTTGAAAAAATGCATAACCAGTAAATTGTCGTTTTCTTAGCCCACAGACCGTTTCAGAGTCTAAGATAGCGACAACAAACTCGCTACAAACTCGCTTCAAACACATTTCTGTCCTCGCCTATCCCAAAACCTGATCCCCTAAGCTTCTTACACAGCTAGTACACAAATACATAACTTGAACACAATTATGGACTGCTTTTGTTACGGTCGGAGGTCGGAGATTTTACGTTATGGACCATTAGGGCAAAGCTTCATCGTAGTTTAATACCTGTGTTGATCTGATGCAAACCATTCTTTTTTTTAGCTGTCTAGCTTAAGTAATGCATATTTTTGCGTGCTCTACGACACACATTTATCTTGGCGAACTGGAAGCATTTTGGTCTGAACGTACTTCATTTCTGAAGCACTACCAGGAATAGGTTATATGTCGGAATTGCCTCCTAGATCATTTTCTTGAGACGATGACAATTTAATATGTACTACATCGACATATTCCTGTTTGTATTTTAAAAATTGATTCATCAGCGCCGCTTTAAATCTATAATCACTGCGTACACGACATGTGCGCAGTGATGTACTACATGTACTGTACGTAGACAAATCTGCTTATGTTGTAGAATTTTGTTTTGTCCGACAGCCCGTCCAGGTGCCCTCGCTCCGTCTTTTGCATTGAAATTCAGGCTCCCACTTTGGAATTTGCTCTCCCTCTTTCAAGCCACAATATATCCATGTGCATTTCTTACGCACTCGCGGTCACGGTGGCAACTCTCCTTGTTCCTAGCAACGCGCTCGTGAGCTCAAAGCCTGCGATGCTGTCTCCACCCGAAGAGCTAAGTCAGCGTCATTTGCGGTCTCACGACACCCCTGTTCTGGTAGATGACTACAATGCTGATGAGGAGAGGGGTCTAGATAACGCAAAGATGAAGAGCATGTGGAAGGATGGATGGGGTGCTGACAGCTATGCCCCGAAGCTGGACATCGCGGACGATATTGCGCACGCTGAAACTTCGGCCGGCGCTCTCCAGCAGCTCATGCAAACCCACAAGTACGAAAAGTACAAGACGTACCTCAACTATTTGATAACCAAAAACAAGAAGAAGAAGCCGAATCTTGTCTACTACTCATAAGAAGAATGAGCCCCTGTCAAGTACACGAAGAACAAGCTAGATGTGTATTCGTATCGATCTCAAGCTCGCCACACGACTCCGAATTAATAAAAATCATTGATACGATCGGTCCGCTACTAAATTTCTCACATTCACTAACAGTACTTTTTAGATTCCATTTTTGCTCGCGTGTTGCTACCGTACCGGTAGCTAACATGTTGGCGGGCTTAATCCTTAAAAGGAGCCCATCTCCAACCTCACACACACAATGCTGGAAGGGCTAGAGACGTTCAGCTGGCGTGCTTTTGGTATCATGGTCTCAAGACTCCTTCCAGCGATACCAATAAACGCGATAAATAAGCGATACAGTGCTCTTTCCAATTTCAAGTGACTAGCCGAATTGGCTGCAAAATTAATTTAGGCAACTATTTGAATAAACTTTGCATCCGATTCGGCTAGACACTCGACACTGGTCCTTCAGGCGGTAGTGTTATTGGGGTAGCTGAGCCTGATCACCGCTGAGCTTTGTTAGAGTTTCTAATACAGAGGTGACAGCCATCGGCGCAATCTTAAAATGCGTTTTGAATTTTGTAGAGAAGCAGGCTCGAGAATGAGCATTTGCGTCTATAACGGGGTCTGAACCTCCAAAACCAGAACAAGTATAATGATACCGCCCTGTGGATCGCCAGCTCAACCTGTACCATAGCATTAGTACTCCTGTATATAGCGACAACTCTAGATAATGAGTAATTGTTCGTGTGCTCTTTTGTGAATCCTATATTTAATATTAAAAAGTAAAAGTTCAACCGAATATAAAAATATGGAGCTACAATACCTTTTTGTATCTACTGCTAGAATTAATTAACCCGGTAATTTTACCTGCGAAGATAGTAAACCTCGAAATGATGATGTTATAAGGCCGTTCGTTTCATTTTTATATGCGTTAAAATTAAGGAACGCCCCAAAGATGGGCCGAATTAATCCCTATTAGGCTGTTCGCACTACTTGACCGTAGCATACTCGAATAAGGATATAATACATGTAACGTTAGTTTTTTCTTACTAAGTATCTCAGTTCTACGCCTGTTGTATTGCGCGACCAGGCTTTAAAACACAGCGACATTTCATTTGCATAGCACAATACATGTACAAAACGCTACTGTACGTAGAAAAAATGTATTTATGTCGTCACCATACGAGATGTCGATTTGTCGTAGCTTGAGATAGTTTACCACGATTGGTCATGGTAAACTATCTCGGACCGGATTTGTTTATGTACGGAGAGAGCATGTTGGGCAGCGAAAGCCAAGGCTTTTAGTCTATCCTTCGTTGTTCGTACTCTGGAAGAGTAAATATGCCAGTAATTCACTGCAACGATCCCCACACCCAGCTAAGCATCATGAAATTTGCTCTCAGTCTTGCTCGTATAGCCGTTGCTGTCGCATCGTCGGCCGCTGTCGACGACAAGTGTTCTTTCGGATGTCCCGACGTGTATGAGCCTGTTTGTGGCTCCAACGGCAAGACGTACTCCAACTCGTGTTACTTGCGCCTCGAGTCATGCCAAAACAACAACGAGATCACCGAGGCAGGCAATGGGGAATGTGCATCAACGCCGACGTCATCGACGACGCCCTCCCCTGTAACAACAAGCACCCACAACGCTCGCAGCGCCATGAATTGCCCTGCATGCCTCGACGTGTACGAGCCCGTGACCGACGAGAACGGTAACGTGTATTCAAACGAGTGCTATATGAAGATGGCAAAATGCAAGGGGGCCGACGACGACGCCAGCATGCGTAGCGATAGCCCTGGTATTTCTGCGCTCGATGCTGGACGCAAATTGGCGGTTGCCGCCGGCAACTAGGGCCAAGCACATCTGCCGTAGTGCTACAAAGACTTGCCTGTGGATGGGGAGACTAGCAACTCTATCTGCAACCGCCACCTAAAAAAACGGTGGAATGCACTGGCGCGTGCGTGTTTGCCCGCTCAGATACGTCGTATCTGAAGCGTGTAGCTACTGCGTACCTGGTGTTGGCTTTGCGCTCGTGAACTCCGTTTCGCACTTGCTGCGTGGTTAGGCTGTTTTTTTTTCAAGACTGGCTACTCGTTATTTTAAATGTTTCTAAGCAATCAAATTAAAAATTACTTATTTTGGAGTTAATGCCACGGTATTTATTTTCAATTTTGTTTTACTGTCGCACCTGCTGATGTTGTTTTTGCTCTAGCGTATTCATGTTCGTTTTGGTTAGAAACTGAGCTTTCAAATAAACATGCATACAGAGGGACAAATGTGGTTCATTTGGTTAGGCCATGAAGGCAGGTAGGTATAATACTGTGCTTGAATGAGCATAGTACCGACTGGAAGTCCAGCAAAGGGATGGAGGGAGGGTAAAAATTGAACCTTCATGAGGCCGAACGGATACCGCTCAAGGATTTTCCGGACCGGTAATACCGGTATCCATTTGCTTCTGCATCCCGAGAGAATCACTTAAGTACGAAAAACGAAGGAACTAGCATCAGTTTGTTTTACGGAGTCTCATATCAGTGTTCAATCCATAGAGTGAGCACTGATATGAGTCCTCACGGTAGAGTATTAATCTCGGTGGTAGAGTGGTAGAGTGGTAATCTCCCAATGAGGTTGTGCCATTATGTGTAGATTGATTCTACGAGAGCTCCATTATTAAACGAAAGATAAAAATAGAGTCCAACGTAATTTCGATAAGTTCCGCAGGATGTCGCTCGTATGAGTGACCATCATTGTGCTCGAGGTGGACGGAGTTACAAGCGACATCGTCATCCGATATGAAATGATTGCAACCTTTTGACTTTGGTTTAAGAATTCAGACCTCCGTTCAGATCGTTGTAACAACTCTGGATCAAAATCCAGAGAGCAATTACTCATTATCTAGAGTTGTCGCTATATACAGGGGTACTAATGCTATGGTACAGGTTGAGCTGGCGATCCACAGGGCGGTATCATTATACTTGTTCTGGTTTTGGAGGTTCAGACCCCGTTGTAGACGCAAATGCTCATTCTCGAGCCTGCTTCTCTACAAAATTCAAAACGCATTTTAAGATTGCGCCGATGGCTGTCACCTCTGTATTAGAAACTCTAACAAAGCTCAGCGGTGATCAGGCTCAGCTACCCCAATAACACTACCGCCTGAAGGACCAGTGTCGAGTGTCTAGCCGAATCGGATGCAAAGTTTATTCAAATAGTTGCCTAAATTAATTTTGCAGCCAATTCGGCTAGTCACTTGAAATTGGAAAGAGCACTGTATCGCTTATTTATCGCGTTAATTGGTATCGCTGGAAGGAGTCTTGAGACCATGATACCAAAAGCACGCCAGCTGAACGTCTCTAGCCCTTCCAGCATTGTGTGTGTGAGGTTGGAGATGGGCTCCTTTTAAAGATTAAGCCCGCCAACATGTTAGCTACCGGTACGGTAGCAACACACGAGCAAAAATGGAATCTAAAAAGTACTGTTAGTGAATCTGAGAAATTTAGTAGCGGACCGATCGTATCAATGATTTTTATTAATTCGGAGTCGTGTGGCGAGCTTGAGATCGATACGAATACACATCTAGCTTGTTCTTCGTGTACTTGACAGGGGCTCATTCTTCTTATGAGTAGTAGACAAGATTCGGCTGCTTCTTCTTGTTTTTGGTTATCAAATAGTTGAGGTACGTCTTGTACTTTTCGTACTTGTGGGTTTGCATAAGCTGCTGAAGAGCGCCGGTCGAAGTTTCAGCGTGCGCAATATCGTCCGCGATGCCCAGCTTCGTGGCATAGTTGTCAGCACTCCATCCATCCTTCCACATGCTCTTCATCTTTGCGTTATCTAGACCCCTCTCCTCATCAGCATTGTAGTCATCTACCAGAACAGGGGTGTCGTGAGACCGCAAATGACGCTGACTTGGCTCTTCGGGTGGAGACAGCATCGCAGGCTTTGAGCTCACGAGCGCGTTGCTAGGAACAAGGAGAGTTGCCACCGTGACCGCGAGTGCGTAAGAAATGCGCATGGATATATTGTGGCTTGAAAGGGGAAGAGCAAATTCCAAAGTGGGAGCCTGAATTTCAATGCAAAAGACGGAGCGAGGGCACCTGGACGGGCTGTCGGACAAAACAAAATTCTACAACATAAGCAGATTTGTCTACGTACAGTACATGTAGTACATCACTGCGCACATGTCGTGTACGCAGTGATTATAGATTTAAAGCGGCGCTGTTCTCCCGTAGTCGTATGGTGACGACATATTTGTCTACGTACAGCGTTTTGTACATGTATTGTGCTTTGCAAATGAAATGTCGCTGTGTTTAATAGCCTGGTCGCGCATAAAAACAAGCGTAGAACTGAGATACTTAGTAAGAAAATGCAGACCTGAATCTAACGTTACATGTGTTATATCCCTATTCGATTTGCATGTTAAAAACGCAAAAGGGGCCGTTTTTTATGATACCGATGTCGATGTGTCGTAAATCGACAACGAACGCTTAGTCGATGTATCCCTTTCTATAATATTGATTTATATTACAGTTATGGTTTTGGCCTTTTCACTTAGCCTAATGCTCGATTAATAATAAATAGAGGTTGTTTAATTAATAGAGGTCTAAAAAAAAACAAATCGATCTAGCTAGATTAACTGATAAATCGATCTGCGGCAGCCAAATCGCCTGGCAGGGCAACAAATCAACATCGATGTTCTGTAAATCGACCCTTTATACCGTTTTGAAATTGTAATTCGATCACAGATAAAAAAAATAATGTCTGCCTCTTCCCATCACATTTTACACGTGGTTTTATGCTCCGACCAGGCAATAAAACGGGAACGGCGTTACCGCAACCATACAACGACAACACAACAAAAAATAGTGCAACCATATCTCCTAAAGCAACCTCAAAATATATGTTTGTCCTGGTATATTATTATTTGTTGCACTACCACGTCGCCATCGTCATCAATTCAGCGGTAAATTACGAGGCATAAGATGCTCAAGTCTAAAAATAGCGATATGTACACAACACTACATACGAGTACACCACACATTTCTCACACTTCGATATACAGGCTTCACGACGATGATTAGAAGATCGCCGTCCAGCGAACTGATACGCGCACGGCGAGAAGAGCTCACGGACACAAAGCGCAAGCTGAAGGAGATCGGGGAGATACTGGAGCAAATACTGAGAGTACAGATGGAGTTAATGGCTCGAATTGAAGAGAACGAGGAAGGCCTATACGCTTTGGATCATGATTTGGACGGTGTGGGCATCGGTCAAGACGGAGTTATGTCTTTTGGAGTGCTGCTAGAGATGGCAATTAATCGGTTAAGAAATTAGTCAACGATATGTAGCTGTATTAATTGTGAATACAAATTCACATGGCTATTTTAGCTCATCCTAAAGTCTCTAATGAATTTTTGCTGCCGTGTCCGCATCTGCCTTCGACATTCATCGCTTGCGGGATTGTACAAGCAGTAACCACAGCATCCTCAAGCGCATTACGTCGACATATGACTTGCTAATCTTGTAGCAATGCAGGTCTGCATTCCCTGCAATAACGCTGTGTGCATGCAATTACCAAGGCACCACAGCTGGAGTTATCAGGTTGTTGCGGGGCGTCCACCCACGAAACTGGGTGGATCTTCATAACACAGCCAGGATTGGAGGACTCGTTCCAGCGCTCAATAAATCCTCGCAGCCCTTCCTTGTTGTTACTCTTACTTCCCTCCCAAACTGTCTCCATTTCACCGTGATAGCAATTCTTAATGAGAGGTTCGTACATGTGAGGTCGTGCGTGGATCTGGCCGTCTGAAACCCCAAGGTTAACAATTATAATGCCCCAATGGCTAGCGCTCAAATTGACGGGGTGTACGACAAACTTTATGTCGCGAAGCTGAACCCGCGGTGTCGCCGGTCAGCCAATCTGCCATAGAAGCGATGACAGCACGCGACAGCCCTCCGTGGATGCAGCAATTTCACTCAAGCAGAAGTCGATCGAGCTGTCCGAGAGCCACCCTCGACAAACACTTCCAACCACGTCTTCGAAGCAAAAGGTGACCTTGCCACACTTGGTGGCATACTCGCTGCGAAGACGGCAGTCTGAAAACTTTGAAATTAATTCGTTGGCGAGGATTTGATGTCGATTTCGAACGGCCTCTCGTGTAACACCCCAAGCTTTTGTTTCCTTTGCGAAATGGTCAACATCCGAGTCCACCTTAATCCAATTTCTCTCCAGCCACTTTCGATCTTCGACCCAAGACTTGGCCTTGGCCTTTACTCTGTAGAAAACACTTGCTGCATTGACTGTAATCGAAGTAGCAACCACATTAGTAAAGCAACCCTGTATCGCAACCATAAAGATAAAGCAACTCTGTATAGCAACCATAACGATCAAGCAACTGTACCTGCAGAACTTCCAGAGCTTTGAGTCGATTGTTGCAACAATGTCGAGAACAACACCTTTCTGTGACACAGTTGAGTCGAGTTTGTCGGGTTCGCGCTGCTTCTTCCGTGCAGTACATATTGCAGCCTCCATTGACCGTGTAAACTCCACGGGAATTACAAATGGGTGCATGTTGTCCTCAGACCTCATAGCTTCCCAATGGCACTCAATCACTCGCGATCGTAGATAGGCATCCGTCAGTTGCACTGGGTATTTTTGCATGATAGCCAGGATGTTCTTCATGTTTGGTGTATTGCGAGCCCACGTCACAAATTCGTGCAGCTCCACTGTTAGCCCGCTGGGATAATTGTGTACAGCTAGCCGCGGTACACCTGGATAAAACTTTGTTTGGCGTAGCTATGTCGGCGTGGTACGCGACCGGGTTCGGCGCATCGGTTTTGGAACATTGCTAACGTCTACTTGACGAGATATCTCTCCTTCGTCTCGAACATCACCCGTCTCGTTTTTTTTGGAGCCAGAAGTCGGCTCACCAAAGCTAGTGGCACGAGGTGGAGTTGGTGACTTTACCTTTTGTTCTTTTGCGAGTTGTGTTGGAAGGACGTCATCACCACTGTTGATACTATCCATGGCGCCATCCTGGTTGTCGATTTGCAGATCTTCCATCAGTTTGACAGTTGCCATTGCGTCTGCTGGATCTAGAATAGAGCTCAAATCATCATCGAGATTTTCGACTTCTTTAACTTCTCCATTTTCGTGATCGGCAAACACAGCACTTTTCTCGTTCGTGATTTGCCAAGACGCAGTCCTTTTTCTAATGTGTTTTTCCACGCCTGTAATTCGTCATAAATGTTTGCGCTGCTCAAGTCGGCTAGATGTTCCAACAGAGGCTCAACCATTGCCTTAGCAAGCGAATACTTCTCGCCTGAAGAAAGAACAACCTTGTTGGCACGCTCCCGTCGTCGCAGGCGAACATAAACAACTTGTTTCGGTGATGTCTTTGGCGCTGACGAGGTAGGAAGCTCAACACAAGGTTCATCCGGCAACCTTAACTTTGGCAACCTTAACTTCGACATCCGCACGATTGAACAGAGAGTATCAGCAGCAGCCGTAAATGCTTCTGTAGATTTCAACGCTGTCATTGTTCTCCACCGTTCGCAAATTCTCATAACAGGAAGCATCTCGAATCCATGTCCTTTGTGCGCTACGTGCATGAGATGCCGACACGGCAAGTGGTTGGTAGTTGAAAACAAACAGGTGCACTTCCAGTCCACGTCATCGCACTCAAATCCTTGGTTGTGACAGTATACGTTCCATTTCAAAACCGATAATGTCTGTACACATGTTGTTTCCTCCATCCGATTCACAAATTGCTCTCATTCCCGCCTAATTGTCTCCAAAACATACGCTGATATTCTGCTCCCAGCTGCTCTTAAAAACGTCGGCACCGACTTAGGCCTCCGTGTACTCGAGTGTAGCTGCCCGATCTCCGAGACAATCTGCTGCGTGATAGTCATCTGGTGCTGCAGCAATCCAGCGATGGTCTGGTCAATTCTTGTTTACGCCCGGGTAGCATCTTGAGCTGGTTCCAATTAGATTCGATCCTGTTGATAGTTGTATTGCCAGCAGTGTGCAAAGTTGGACCACATGCCATTGCATGTGCTCCAGTTCTTGTCAAAATACGCAAAGAAGGCGAGTTTCTTGTTGCTTTGGCAGTACGATTGAAGGTTCTTGTAGTAAGTGTCGTATGCATCCTGCGTTGAGCTAAGATAACAATTAGTTAAGAAAGTAAGACAAGATATGTGTATCGAAAGAACCGTGGCGACATACCTGAAAAGCCGTTTCACCATCAAGGCAAGTAGCTCTTCACTCTGCGCAGTCTTAATTCCGTAGACAGACCTCTTCATCATCTGCTTCCAGTAGGAAATTGCGTGGACCTGGCAAAGGAGAATTTTCGCGTTGGGGAAGGACTCTTCAAGTACCTTCCATTCAGTGAAGTCTTTATCAATGTCCACGCTCACGACTTGATCCCAACGTGAATTCTTCTCCTTGAAGTACTCCAAAATCGTGGAGATCGTCTTTGCTTGCTCATTGAGGCAAATAAAATCAACCCCAGGGAAGGCACGACCCGTGCATGTGGTGACAACCAAACTCCCTACAAGCATGGAAATACATGATGATCAGCAAGGTTGCGATAGCGGGTAAGGTTGCCACAACGGTTACTGTATCAATTAAGGTTGCTACAGGGGGTTGCTATATCAAGTAAGGTTGCTACAGGGGGTTGCTATATCAAGTAAGGTTGCTGTGTCAACCGTACCCAGATGATAGCTCAGGTTATTCGTTCCATGCGTAAAGTCCATTGCCAACATTTCCCCCCACCGCTCAAACATCATCTTTTGAATTTTTGTCTGCATGACAACTCCGCACGTGACGTCAAACTGGTCTTGAATGACGAGCACATCGCTGCCATCAAGCTGCCAAAGAGCGTGAAGCATATTCTTGAGACGGTCTTCACCGGAATCCTTCCCCATGATGCTATGGATAAGATTACGCGTCTGCTGTGGCGTCACTTTACAGTCTAAGAAGAAGTTGACATAATGTAAGCAAAAAATTAAAGA